AACTTCCATCCACTACTCGCTATTCACACTTCACTACTCACTACTCACTGTCCACGACTCACTACTCACTGTCCACTACTGGCTACTCGCTACTCCACTACTCGCTACTCCCTACGCCCTACTCGCTACCCAAAACGCACTTTTCACTACCCACTACTCACCACTCACTACGCCCCCACTACTCACCACCCACTACTTCCTACTCCCTACTCACTACTCCCAACTCACTACTCACTACCCAGTAGTCAATATTCACTACTCACTAAACACTACCCGCTGCCCATTACTCACTACTCACTAAGCACTACCCACTACCCACTAACCACTATCCACTACTTACTACTGAGAACTCACAGTTCACTGCTCACTACGCGTGGCCCAGAGAACACTACTCACTATCCGATACTCGCTATCCAATTGGACATATTCACTACCCACTACGGACTACTCGCTCCTCACTACTCCTTCTCCCTACTCACTAGTCACTAGTCGCAAGTCGCTACTCACTACTCACTACTCACGACTCACTTCTCACTTATTCATACTCGCTACTCCCTACTCACTACCGACTACTCAATACCCACTTCTCGCTTCTTTCTACTCACTACTCATTACTCCTTACTCCCTACTCACTACTCACAAGCCACTACTCACTACTCACTACTCGCTACCCCCTACTCGCTACGCGCTACTCCCTACTCACTACTCAGTACTGGCTCCTGACTGCTCCCTCCTGACTACTCACTTCTCACGACGCCCTACTCGCTACTCACTACTCACTACTCGCTACTCCCTATTCGCTACTCCCTACTCGCTACTCGCTACTCGCTCCTCACCACCCACTACTCACTACTCTCTACTTACTGCGAACTACTCACTACTCACTACACACTCCTCGCTTTTCGCTACCGTCTACTCCCTCATCCCCACTCCCTGCTTACTACTCACTATGCACTACTCACTACACACTACTCATTCCTCACGACCCACTACTTACAATTCCTTATTCAATACTTCCTTCCCACTACTCACTACCCACTACCTACTACTCACTACTCACCAATCTCTACGCGCTACTCACTACTACCACTACCCATTACCCGCTACTCACTACTCACCACCCACGACTCACGGCGCACTACTCCCCTTCAAGTACCCACTACTCACCGGTCGCTGCTCAAAACACTCTGCTCTCTACTCACTACCGAGAGGCCCCCTCCCCAGCCGCCCCCTTATCGGCGCAAAGGGGGGAGGGGGGGGGGTCGAACCCTTCCCCCCGCCCCTTTCCAGCGCCAAGGGGGGGAGGGGGGGGGGGTCGAAAATCTCACCCCCCCTTTGAAGGGGGGGAGGGGAAGGGGGGGTTCTGCGAGCACCCCCCCCCTTTAGAGTATTCAGGGCCATCCACTGGCGCGCTTTGTCTATATTGAGTACAAGAAACCGTATGTTCCACCATACGCGCGGAGCGAAAAAATTACCCTGCGACGTACCCAAACCAAGCAAGCGGAGTAGGGAAACATTAGCAGGAACCGTGACAGTGCAGGCGCGGCGATTTGTAGTGCGACCTACATGGGATGCGTAATGTTGCACGACTCACAGAACAGCAATCGATAAGACGAGGAGTATGTCTCAAGGCTTGTTAAACAATAGCGGGGGCGGGAACGAGGGACAGGAGAAGGACGAACCCAGTAGGAAGGGGCGAGGAGCCATCGCAGCAGCAGCACCATGAATGCATAAGGTAACAGGAGGACTAGGGCGGCGATGATGAAAGAGGAGGGAGGAAGCAAGAGACTGTTTCGTTTTTGCAGGAGCTCGGTCAACGCATGCCTGCTGCCTGTCCACAGGATCGAATGTGGCGTCAGTGTCGCAGATCGCAGCCCCCCCAGGGATGGCGAGGTCTAATCTGAATCTGCGTGGTGCCTCACCCCGCTGGACCCACCAGCAGCCCTCGAATGTGGCGACAGTTTCGCAACCAGCAGCCCTCGAATGTGGCGCCAGTGTCGCAGATCGCAGCCCCCCAGGGATGGCGAGGTCTAATCTGAATCTGCGTGGTGCCTCACTCCGCTGGACCCACCCTCAGCCCTCGAATGTGGCGACAGTTTCGCAGATCGCAGCCCCCCAAGGATGGCGAGGTCTAATCTGAATCTGCGTGGTGCCTCACTCCGCTGGACCCACCAGCAGCCCTCGAATGTGGCGTCAGTGTCGCAGATCGCAGCCCCCCAGGGATGGCGAGGTCTAATCTGAATCTGCGTGGTGCCTCACTCCGCTGGACCCACCAGCAGCCCTCGAAAGTGACGACAGTTTCGCAGATCGCAGCCCCCCAGGGACGGCGAGGTCTAATCTGAATCTGCGTGGTGCCTCACTCCGCTGGACCCACCAGCAGCCCTCGAAAGTGACGACAATTTCGCAGATCGCAAACCCCCAGGGATGGCGAGGTCTAATCTGAATCTGCGTGGTGCCTCACTCCGCTGGACCCACCAGCAGCCCTCGAAAGTCGAGGTCTAATCTGAATCTGCGTGGTGCCTCACTCCGCTGGACCCACCAGCAGCCCTCGAAAGTGACGACAGTTTCGCAGATCGCAGCCCCCCAGGGATGGCGAGGTCTAATCTGAATCTGCGTGGTGCCTCACCCGCTGGACCCACCAGCAGCCCTCGAAAGTGGTGACAGTTTCGCAGATCGCAGCCCCCCAGGGATGGCGAGGTCTAATCTGAATCTGCGTGGTGCCTCACTCCGCTGGACCCACCAGCAGCCCTCGAAAGTGGCGACAGTTTCACAGATCGCAGCCCCAAAGGGATGACGTAAAAGGCAAGAGAGAAGAGGAGGAGCGAAGAGAGGAGGAGAAGTGAAGCAAGAGAGGAGGAGCGAAGAGAGGAGAAGGGATGCAAGAGAGAAGAGGAGGAGCGAAGAGAGGCGGAGAAGGGAAGCAAGAGAGGAGAGGAAGAGGGAAGAGAGGAGGAGGAGGCGGGAAGGAAGGAAGGTGGAGACCGCAGTGCTCTATTCAAAACGAATACCCAACGCAGGAGAAAACGAGCGCGGAAATAGACACCCCCTCTTGTAGGCCAGGGCGCAGGGTCAACTGGTCATGTCAACTGACCCACGCCGCCGAAGCACCAGCTCAACTGACCCACGCCGCCTGGTCAGCGGTCACCGGGTTAACTGACCCACTGAAGATCTAGATCAATTCCCGGGACAATGAGCGGAATTCGAAGGCGGTCTGAAAACAAACCTGCACACCAAGAGTTTACAGAGTCGGCGTCCAATATGCAGATTGACAATAAGTTACGGGCAGGACAGGGAGGAGCATGGAAAGCAGCTGCAGCAGCAGCGGCGGAAAGAGTAGCATCAGCATCAGCATTAGCAAGCGCAGCGCGTCGCCCGCCGTCGCGACAAGTTCTGGTGTCTAGAGATGTCAACTGCTCGCGGCTACTCAGTCGAAACACCTTGCGTTTCTACGCGAGGGAGGGAGGACCGAGGCGAAAACGACTCCGAGGACCAGGAGGGATGAATCATGGGCCATGTGCCCTAGTGTCTATCCCTGAGAATATGCGCTCTCTCCCTTCTCGCCCTCTGGACAATGACGAACAAGCTCTGGCCACCGCGGGCACTTGCTCGGAAACGCCCGTGCACGGCAGGGGGCGGGCGCCACCAGGGTACACTTCTGGCTCGTTGAGGGGGGTCGGGCGGGAAAGGCCGGGCCGCAGGCAGTGCAGGCCGCGAGCCCCGTCAGGCGAGCCACGAGCCTCACCGGGTCTGCGTCTGAGGCCCGGTGGCCACGAGCCTCACGGGGCAAAGGTCACAGCTCCGCCTCGTCCTCCATGCGCAGCGCCCTGTCCAAGCGGCTCTGGTCCACCTCGCTCTCGAGGTCGAAAACCTTGCTGCCATGCTCGTTGGCAAAGGCGGCGAGGTGCTTCACGGAACGATCCCCCTCGAATGCAACAGGCGTGCTATCTCCAGCCCGGAGAAACAGCACTTTGGGATAGGCTTCCCACCGAAAACCCTGGTCTTTCAGAGGCGAGCCATTCAAAGACCCGTCCATCTTGATGACCGAGAGGTGCGGTACCTTCGCCGCCCGGATGGCGAACTCTTCCCAGACGGGCATGAACTTCCGCGAGTAGCCGCACCACGAAGCGTATACCATCAAGAAAACGTCTTTCCTTTCCGCCGGCGGGGTCGAGGGCTGCAGAACCATCTCCTCCAGCGTGTGACCCACTGCGATCAGAGAACCTCCATACATGTCTGGGGACCTCGGGATCGGCTCCGACTTCGTAAGCCTGTTCCGGATCCACCGCTCCAGACTGCTAGCCGTAAATTCGCCGTCGTAACCCATGCTTTGCTCGCCCTGCCTTTCTGACATGAAGGTGACATTCTCTCCACTTGCTTCTCTGTGGAGCACTGCCACGGTGTCCATGTGCTGCGCAGCAACTACCTCGAGGGTCTTGAAGTGCGGGGACGACTTCGGCATCTGGGCGTAGATGGCGCGATCGTATTTATGGATGTCCTCCTCGGACTGAACCGTCTCAATTGGGTCGCGGTCCAGAGCCAACACGAAGTCCACAATGTCTTTCTCTTTACGCATGGCGTAGTGGTATTTAGTTGGCTGCCCGTGCACAAACCAAAGTAACTGGGGGAACTTCAGCTGGGGTACATACTTCTCTGCAAGCGCCCAATCCTGCCTGGCGTCGACCTTGACAAATGGCACTTTGCAGCCGAGGTCGCGGATCTTTCTGGCAGCCGCGTCCATCTCGCCAGACAGCTGAGCAAAATTCGGGTCCGTTTGGTCCACGAAATCGACCAATACTTTTTCATTGCTGCCGATGAACGGGCCGAGGCTTGACGGAGTCAGCATGGTGGCGACGCCCAAGCGCCCTTCAGCGGGCCTCAGCGAAACGAGGGCAGCCAACGACAACAACCATGGCCAGTCAGCAGGCCGCGGTGGGGCGGCCGCCATTCGAGGACTGCGCTGCGCCGCCGAAAAGCAGAGTCAAAAAGTCCCAGCCAAGACTGCCATGGAAGTGGTGGATGTGTTCGACCGCGACTCGCTACTCCTCGCATGGCTCCTGCGTCGTGCCTCCAGACTGTCCCCCACTGTGCTGGCCGTCCGAATTCAAAAAAAAACTGATCAAGACGTTGCCAAGTGTCTCGACAAAGAACTTCGCATCCCCCTCGCGCTAGAAGCCACTGAAAACCGGCCTCCAGCTCTTGAACGGGCCACAGGGTGGTGACAGTGGCACACCATTCTCATACACACACCCCGTAGGCTGGGAGGTCCCACGTTGAGAGGGGGGGGGGGGCCTCGTCGCCGCAGAGCAGCGGGAATGCCACATAGTCCCCCCCCCATCCTCCCTGGAAGCCCCCCCCCCCGCTCCCCTCGGGAGCCATCGGGGCCTGAGCACTTGGGTGGTGGCCCCACTGCGATGCCTCCTCCAGGAGGCGGGATGCACCCGCAATGCTCTCTGGAGACGGCATGGGGGCGTGGTCGCCGAAGGCGGGTGTTGCACGTGGCAGGCCCGCCGCGCCGCTCCCTCTATGAGGCCTCTGCGGGCTCTATGGAGTCGCACGGACGCAATCCCTGAAATCAATGGCAGGCGCTGGCGGTGCTGATGGGCGGTCCTGCACCGTCCTACTGCGCCCCCCTTGGAGAGCTTCTGCGGGTCTCTCAATGGTCCCTGGGAGCCTCTGGCAACTCCAGCAAGACAGGAGGAACTGGATGTTTTCCGGAGAAGCCTGGAAGTTCACGGTGACTCCTCCCTACACACTCCTGGAGGTGCGGTGGATGCCTCTGGAGACCTTGCCAATACAAGTGGGCCGTCGCATACATTTGTCCAAGATAAACCTACCTCAGGTCGCTTCTTGAGACACTCCCAAAGTCGTCTATGCTCCTTCAAACTATACTGTGTCACATGTGTGGCAAGGGAAACCACAGCAGGGTCCAGCGAGCCCTTCGCAGGCCTCCAGGTCCAGTCAGCATAGTTGCGTGCCGTGGGCACTGAATGGAATGTCCTCAGGTCCCTTCGAGCTCTCTATATTGAGGACTGTGCTGACCTAGAAACAAACGGAAGAAAAGCCGGGACCCCGTGTTCCAGGCTCTTGGGCGCTCCCAGGGATTCCCGCGTGATGTTGACCCTGGGAGCGTTGCCGCGGGTCTCAACTTCCATCATGCGTTCAGATAGCCCCAATGGGCCGTTATCCTGAAAACTTCTTGGCCCGTCTTGAAGGCACCTGGGGCCAGCACAAGAGGCCCGAACAACTTCTCGGTTTGCTTTGCAGTGTACCGTTTGGGAAAACTTGGCTTGTAGCTCTGCAAATGCCCCAAGACAAGACGGCCCAAAAGGGCCGAATGGGCCGCCAAGGAGCCCAAGAAGGGAAGCACAAACTGACATTTGGAGCCATCCACCCCAAGATAAGCTCCCAGATCTCGTCCAGACACCTACGAGACCCGCAAGAGTACGTACCCCAGAGGTCGCCAAGACGCCCCTAGGAGGCCTTAGGCTGCCTCCAAGAAGCTTTTGGGACGGAGGAGGCCAACGACCGACTCCTCGTCTTCACAACTGGCAGTGCCGCGCATACTCGAGAGGTTGCCACGGCGAGGGATCGGTCCGCGGGTCTTTGATCGCTGGCGAATCAGAAGACTTCGCCCGAAGCCTGTGTCGGTCTGTCGGGGGCCTTTCAGCGGCCGCCGAGGCCCAGCAGCGCGCGCGAAGCGCTTCAGGTGCGAGAAGCCCCCCCCCCCTCTCCCTCGCAGAAACGGGCCGTGGAGGCGGGCCGCAGCGCGGTGCAAGTGCGCCTTGAGCCGCTCCCCAACCCAGCGATCCTTCCGCTGGCGACATTGCGCTCCGAAGCGGCGGAACATGTGGCTCGCGGCGCGTGGCAGCTGGCGAACGTCGCCGCCTTCTCGGGGCCGACTCTGCCAGGCCAGGCCGCGCGCCCAGGCCCCGGGCTTTCTCAGCCGGAAGATCTCGGATGGCGGGAGGGGGGGTTCCACTGGTTGCACGGGAAGCGGGTTGGTTTTGGGCGCTTGGCGGGGGCGCCCCTTCAAGATTGCGCGCTCCGCAAAACGCGGCCGCTGACACTGGCGCTCCGCAAAACGCGGTGCTCGGACGGTCACAGACGGCGGACTCCATCGAGACTCTCGGATGCGCTCCCTGCGCGAGGACAGTAATGAGACGCGGTTGTAGCTCTGAGTCGGCCGACCACGTCTTCAGCGGCGGAAGCGAGCTCAACGCGAGATCTGCCCGAGTAGCGCACGGCGGCCACGGGTCGGGAAGTCCTGCTGCGTGGGCCGCTGGGGTTCCAGGCAGCAAGGGCTGCTGCGCCCGCGCGGACATTCGCCGTTAATGCGTGGAGCGCCGCGGGCGCGTCGATCCGGATCTCCTGCAGGGCGGCTGGCCAGAACTGCGAGGAGGCGCCCGGCCAGAGCCGCCGCTTCCTGGGGGTCGCTGGCGCCAGCGCCTGGATCGCGCGGTGTGCCCGGTCTGGGGCAGATGCGGCGCCCTTCAGACAAGGCCGATGGGCTCGAGCTTTCCGGGAGCGGAGCGGAACGGAGTACAGTCACGACGGCAGCGAGGGCGGGCCAGGGCCCGAATGAGGAATCGGAATGGTAGGAGCCAGAGTCAGATGGGAGTCGGAACCAGGAGAGGACGTGCTCACCAACATCAGACATGATTGTAAAACAAATCATGCCCGTGCTGTCAGAGATGATCTTCATGATGTCGCGGCAATCGTGTCTGCGCCCAGGCCTCATGCGTAGGGGTCGAAGCCAGAGCCAGAGCCAGAGTCGGAGCCTTGGGCGACTCTGGCTGCATGCCCAGAGTCACGACGAATCAGGATCGCAGGTGGACCCTGCGGATCTGCGCGCCCAAGCGACTGTCGGGGGCCGTCGCTGCTGGGAACCGCCTTCACCTCCTGTAGACATTCAGCAAGCTTCAAGGGTTGCGCTGCGGCCTTGAGGAGCGACGGACGTCTTCGGCGCCGAAATTGCGGTTGTGCGTGAATGCCCCGATGAATTCGGGCCGCATCTGGCGTGCAGCCTGGCCAGAGCACTGAAACTGACTGCAGTCCGCACGACTCTGGATTCTGCATGACGTCGCGTCGGCTCCAAGACTCCTATTTGAAATGGCCCCTCAAGCTTGGACTCCCGCGGCCAAGCGTCTCAAGATGGTCGGACAGTGCGGTCGCATGCTCCCGAGTCTGCTGGAGCTCTGGGAGGGCGGCCGGGACCGCGCGAAAGAGTCCAGCTCGTACCGCTGGCCCTCGAAAGGTTCCCGCCAGCTGCCTCGGCGAACGCTGGTGCGAACACCGCCAGCGCTAACAATTGCTGACCAATGGGCTCCCTTCGCAAGCCTTGCGTCGCCCCCCCTGCTTCGCCCCCCCTGCTTCGCTGCTCCGCTTCGCTGTCAAGCTCGTCGGAATCCTCCCCGCGCTCCCAGATGCAGAAGAGGCCGACCCGTTACGTCTGGTGGGCGCAAGCAGCTCGCGGGCGCGCCCTGGGCAGCAAATGGCTACGCCACGACAGTGAACAGGCAGACCGCCGCTAAAGCCCCGCCGCCCGTGGCCGTCCGCGCGCGTCACCCGATATGTCCGAAGCTCCAGAGGCGGCCCTGTGGCCGCGGCGGTCGAGAATACTTAGGAAACTCAACAAGCATAATTACGTACTGGGCGGACGGGGTTCGGCGGGGCAAGGGACCACCGTCGTCATCCGCCAGTCACTCCTCATGCTGCCGTCTGCGCACAACTCGCCGCGCGGTCCTCAGGCGGGTCTCGATGGCGGGCGGAAGAGTCGCGGACTGTGCAACGCAAGCCATGACAAGCACCTCCCCTGTGGTAATATTTGACGTACCCTTCATACTGGCACAACTGAGTCCGTGCTGGCGATGATCTGCCTTCCACTTGCCTCGGCTGCTCCGCCTGTGTGGAGGTGTGACTTCCACCTCCCCGCTACGCACGCACTCCAGCACTCACGCGCAAGGACTACATCTTCTGAGCGTGCCTTCCCCTCCCCCGCGCGTTCCTCTCCCTCCCTCCGCCCGCCGTGCCCAATTCGGCCACGTGCATCACACGTCAGCCATGTAGAACTCGGCTAGGGTTCCCGCCGCTGCGACAGACAAGTGTGGAGGTGGGCGGGTGCGCGTTTGCTATGGCAAGCCCCTGGTATAAGCGACCCAGTCGTCGCAGGACTGCAACCGCTGGAATCTTACAGCATCGGTCATCACTCAAGTGGCCTCTGGGCCCGAGCGCGTTGCTGAAGCCGTCGCCCGTGCTCCTCTTCCAGCGCCCTCCGGCCGCGGGCCTGTGCGGTCGCGCCGCGGCCAGCTACCTCGGAGGACCCGCCAGGCGGTTCACCGCGCGGTGAGGCGACCGGGGCAGCCCGTTCTGCGAGGCCGCGGGCGGTCCCCAAAGACGAGGCACTCCACGTGCAACGTGCTGTCCGCGAAGGCGGAACCAGCGAAAAATGTTTTCGTGCGCGGCAAGTGGCGGCCTTGGGCGCTGGGTGGTCGGAACCTCGTGCTGAACACCGCTCTGAGACCTGCCCGCATCGGCGGAGAAGCGACCGAACAGGGCGCAGTGAACCAGGTGCACCAAAAAGGTCTCCTCCAGGATCATCCCGCCGCTGTCACTTGCGCGCACGGCCGCCTCCACGATGCCGACTGCGGCGGCGGTGGGAAGCATTGCACGCACGGCCCCGTCTCCCACAACATACGGAAGAAACGGGAGTGAACGTTCGTGAACGCGCCAAGCACTGCAGGCATGTAAAACTGAAACTGTCCGACTCGCGGTTCCGATTTCAGGACACCCCTGCACGCTTTCATGCCGTCCGCAATTGCTGCCCAAAGGCGGCAGCGAGCTTCACAGCTGCAAAGCCAGTGATAACGATGACGATATCGGTGGGGAGAAGACGTTAGTGATGCTCAACAAGATGACAACACGCTTGCCAGACTGCTGATGCTGGAGGTTCTCATTACCACCCGGCAGCAACAACACACCAAACTGCAATGCCGCACCGCGG